TTTCCTTCTCCGCGCCCGCTCACGCTTCGCTGACCTATCGCGTGGTAAAGAGAAGAAAGTACGAAAGAATAGTAAACAGAGCACACCGCAGAAAGATTCTAAATATGAGAAGTCCCCCTTGGATTCGAGAAGAAGGAAATGAAGAACGGGAACGAAACGAAATAAGGCGTTTCTAGCTCTAGTTTCGGGTGAGCTTCTCCGAATTTTGTCTGGTAATAGAATGGGGCGGCTTGCTCTGACCAAGACTCCACTTTTTGCTCCGTCCATGGAGCGTATGAATTTCCTGGAATGTAGATAGACCAAAAGAGGGAATAAAGAGATAGGAATAGGAATTATAGTACCATTGGAAGAAGGGGCACCTATGGGAACATCTCTACTGAAAAACCATTTCAATAGTACGGGTGCTGCCGTGCCACGAGGCACGACCATGGAAGTAATGAAAAAGAAAAAGTTATGTAGTTGGACCATGTGCTCTATCCGTTCGAGTTTCGCTTCTCTAGAGAAGGTGAGACGCTCAAAATGAAAGTGTTCGCAACGCATACCGAAAGGGTACCAATGAAGCCGACCATTAATGACTAGTTCGAACACCAGGAGCGGTCTGATCCTGATCAGACAGACCGCTCTTAGAAAGAAAAGCAAACTCTCATAGTTCGGAGCCCAGCTCCAACTACTTCTTAGTAAGTGAGGTGAGGTACTTCTTTCGGTTTGAATAGGGGTCGCCCTTTTTTGGTTGAAGCAGCCACGACTTTGGTCGTAGTCAGTTCAAACACATAAACCCAGTCCACTTGCAGCCATGTTGATCAAAATGACTAAGTTTCATGACTTGACCAGTCACTCGCCCTCGTATTATAAGATCATCTCACCTTGTGGTCGACATTCCATTCCCCTTAGTCGTAGGTGCTCGTTCTATTTTGATTTGAATGGGCCGGGTCTCCCGAGGTACATATGGCCGGCCCTTCGGGTGTCTCGGTGATACAAACAAAAAAAAGACGAATTCCTCCCGTTGGTCGCCTCTATTAAAGCCAATCCTTACCAAAGGAGGAAATAGAATCGAATAATCTACCTTCTTTTTTCCTTCCCTTCCCCCGACAATCAAGCTGCACTTCCTTCTAACAAGTGGCTGAGAGTTAGCAAGCTACCTTGGCAGGCGGTTCGCTGTCCCCTTCCTTTCCGGTCCGGCCGCGGTACGGCACCTGAACTCGAAGCTACGATCAGATCCGATTGGATCTGATCCGTTCAGATTCCACAGATCCAGCCGATTTGGTCTGGTCCTATCCGACCCAACCCCAGAACTTAGAATGGCCGGCGTGTTTTGGACAGTAGAACGGGAAGAGGGGGAGTCGTGCCCATTCTCTCTCCGGGCACGAGCAGGAACATCCAAATTGAAGACCGAATCGAATACATGTATATGACAGAACGACATATTAAAAAATACGTGATCTGATTGGATAGGCTGCCTGCAGAAAGAGTTTACCGACCGCATAACAATTCATTCTTTTGTGTAGCGCGTGGGACCATGTCTCCCGAACGATCATAGTGCGGCCACTCATCTAATATGAAAGAAATTGGTAGATCTCACTTCCCTTCCCCCATACCATAGCCGGAAGGAAGGGATAGCGTATCTACAGAAGAAAGAGTAAAGGCCCTTACCTTTAATTGAGTTTAGACGCAGCTCGAATGCCTTTACGCTATAGGCTGTGTTAAGCATGCTTCTTTGACAAAAAAGAAAGTCTTTTTCCATGACAACAGTCGCGACTATACTATAAAGGGCGGGGCAGTAAGCTCTCTATCAACAACAGGGGGGCTGTTCTCCTTTGTCAACTCCTTGCTTGTGTCGTTGACAAAGTCAACGCTATTAATATTAAGGACCGGGGCGAGCGGAATTCAGTAGAGGCTCGAAGAAGGGCTTACTAAGCGAAGGGCGCTTTAGCGGCTTTGCTATCCATCCTACTATACTACCGAAGGGCGACGGGCAAAGCTGCAAGGAGATAGTGTGCCTTTCTTTGTTCTCATAGCAGAGTGAGGGGCGCTATCCATCCGCCAATAGAGCCGGTTTTAGTGAAGATCCGCTCATATGCTGCATGAGGGGCGGCAAAAGACGACTTTGCCCATGAGTTAGCGATCCAGCGGGACCAAAATCTCACTTGCAGCTCAGCTGACCCGCTTTCATTGCATTCGTGTCGAAAGTGGAGAATAAATAACGAAGATTCGGTCGGTTGATCTTTTCCTTTTAGTTCGAGAGGTTCGTGATGCAAGGAATTGGCCAACGATCTTCTATATGATGCTTATAGTTCTGGCTCAGAGGCGTTACGCATTGCACGCAACGATTGTCTTCCTTTCGCGGGCGAGCCTATGCGTTGAAAGTAGGTCAATCTGCTTCTTCGGTTCGCCTATTGGCTCATGTCTTTCTCACCCTTTTTTGGTGTCTTAGGAGTCGCCTAAATGCTCTAAGAAATCGGTTATCGTATTACCTTGCCCATGCGCTACTTTATCTTTTTTAATTCTTTCCGATATGAGCCGAAACTGAGACTGATTGATTCGCCAATCTTAGCAAATAAGAGGCAATCTTTCGATTTCGACGAATCCGCACTTGGCCTGAAAGTCCCATCCCTAGGACCTGTAGTAGCACGAAAACAAGCAAGCTTTTTCCGATGAAGAACCTGAAAGCTTCGACACAGGAGATTAGGACAGAGAAGTTAGCGATAGGGGTCTCTCCTCTCCCTTACCACTGACTTTTTCCTACTACTTTGAACCGACTGAGATGACTTCGCTTCAACCCAGTTATTATTTACGCGATTTCCAGATCGAGCCAAGCACTGAGCTTCATTCCAGCTTTGGAATGAGAGGAAGGGGGCAGTTACCTTTCTCGGAGGAAGCTGGCTTTATTAGGTATGAGTGCCGGTACTGAACACTGGAATCGGCTAGGCTAGTAGATATAATGCTTCAACTCCGTACTCTGTAATAAGAAGAACCAAGCATCCACCGTATAAGAGAAAGTCGACCCCTGAGATGAAAGAAGGAAACTTAGGTGCTGAACCCAGGCCCATATAGGATAGGAGGTCAGTGTGTGATCAGTTAGATAGGGGATCTCTTAACCAGAATTACGGAATGAGTACAGGCCCGCCCCTAACAGGTTAGCGACAGCATTCTCGAGGGCTCCAAGGAAAGCCCTCAACTTCAACCCCCACGCCATCCGCGGACTTCCTATGGATTTTATTGGCTTACTATTTCATTAAAAAAAGCCCCCGCTCCGAGATCTTTTCGTATTGTCGGGGATCAGTCAAGGAAGGACCATAAATTGCGGTATCTTCTACAATAAAATGTGAGAATTGATAAGAGAGCCCCTGGTTAACCCAGCCCCTTAAAGCTGTATACTCCAGTAGGTATTGAGAAGCCTCCGTTGGAATCACTCCTTTCAAAGGAGGCTATATCCATCTGACTAAGCAATTCATTTGCTTCGTCAAAACAATACCTCACCTTGCGGTACCAAGCCAAGAGTTTCACTCAAAAGGTGCTGAAATCCCAAACGTGGCTTCAAAGCTATTCTTTCTATAGCGCTTGCTTTTCTCGGGAATTGAGCTTAGCCCTTTAACCAGCGCTTATCGAGGGAATTGTTTCTAAGCCGACAAAGGCACTCTTTCGCCTACCGACACCGCTCGCTAACCGGTTACCTTCTGTTACCCTTCAATCGGCGGACCTTGACTTAGTTTTAGAGGTTAGTTACACATCTATCTCACTTGTAACTACCTGACATAGGCTATCAGACTATTGAGATTAACCCGAAACCAGAGTCGCCAACGGCACTCTTTTTGTGTGCTCTGAGGAACTCCTGGTTAGAAGTCACCTTGAGTCCGCTAAAAGACTAGGGCTTTCTATGGTAACTAAACCGGTGTCGGCTACCGTTTACTGCTTCTTTTAGGGCTATTAGCCCTAAGCCGAGCGCTTTCCTTTTAGCCGTGTCACTTGGCCTAGTTGACAAGGTACAGTGCGTCAGTTCCGGGACTTATCTTGAGAAAGAGATGCTAGGTCTCGCCTATCTGCGGATTCGAAAGCAACAGCAAAGAGAAAAGGGGATTGCCCACTAAGAGCCCATCATTTACCCGAGCGAGAAGATCCCCGTTGGAATACCTTATAGAGCTGGGCAGGCAATAGGTTTGATTATCAGCTGCTCTCCGCCCATCAGCGAATGCGGGCCCTGCGAGCTGCGAGTGGAGAGAACGGGCCATCCTCACCAACTAGCTAATCAGACGCGAGCCAAACAAATTCATCCAGAAAGATGAGGAAGCAGTGGTATCTTTCTTTCCATTACGAACCGTGTCCACTAGCGCTCCTGGCGAAGAGAAGAAGGACACCATTGTCTCAAATAGAGTGAGCAAAAAAGCTTAGAAGCGGGAAAATGATAGGTAGGAAGGGCTGCAGCATAGCGTAGCGAATAGCGAACGAAGCATGCTTCTACTATTGGAGAGTAGCCGCTTCCATCGCTGGTAAACTATCGGTGGATAATAAACAATAGAGCAGAAACCCAAATGAATTCGCCGCGTTGCTAGATCTTTTCTCTAGAAAGCGAGAATTTAATAAGAGAAGAAAGAGTGGAATGTGGGGAGGAAGCGATCTCATTCAATCGGGTTGGACGTTCATCATTTCTTACACCACTACCGGCAGAGAAGATGGCGGGCCGACGAAGACATCTTTCTATGACTTCGAGTGTTTTTGTTCCGGAAGTAGTCAAAATCTTCCTTTCCTCTTGAGAAAAGGGAAATAGACAAACAGCCTGGTAACACGTACTTGGATTACATTTCTTAATAGCTATAGCTTTCCCCCATCATTACCTTTAGAAAGGTAGGATCCGTGGGTGAAGGTAATATGGAATATTCTTATTCTTGGCGTCAGAGAAAGCAGAACCAGACTGCCAACGATCTGACGATAGAGAGTCTTCACCTTGTAGACTCACTTTCAGCTAATGGGAATCTTTGTCTTTCCCTCTGTCTTTCAATTTCTACTATTATTTATGATATGTGTAGAATTTGGTATCAGGTCTCGTGTCAATTGCGAAATATCTCCTTTTTGGCGAAATTTCCTAGATCTATTACCATTCATCTTTTTTTTGAAAAAAGGATGTACCATTTAACTCTAGCTCTCTTTTTGAAAAAGCTCTCTTCAGCAGCCCCAGGTTGCCCAAATACAACTGCTTTTGAGCCTCATCAAGATCTTGCTTCTTATCAAGCAGAAATATTACTGTAGCTAGTTTTGTTTAATTCCACTTTCAATCTCTTCAATTTAGCAGTAATCCTGAAAATCTCATTCCCTTCATGAGACCAAGACAAGATCCGAGGGAAGGTGCTATGCTTCATCCACATATCAAAGAACTAAAAAGGCTTCCCAGCATGTTCAAAATGAGCTCAACAAGCGTATGATCAGAAACCCCAGGGCATAAGGCCTCAGCCTCAGAATCTGGAAAGTTCTGCAAAAAAGCATCATTGATACTGTCAATTTGACTCAAAATAACATCTTGAGTACCTCTTTTCTTACTCCAACTGAGACCACTTGACGGATGGAAAAGGCTCACTCATATCCAGCTTATTGCTTAAAGCTGATCTGTTCACACACTAGTTAAAGGTGATTCTGTCTAAAAGAGCTAGGTTGAGTTGCTTCCCTGAAGCTAAAGAATTCGGATAAAGTATAAAGAGAGATCCCTAAAGCTGCTCTTCCGCTACTTACTACCTAAAGCTGCTCTTCCGCTACTTACTAATAGAAAGGGCCCCACCAACAGCGAGGGGCTATCGAATTTTGAAAATCGACTTGCTGAAGTGACACTCGCAACTAAGGCTAAGATCAAAGTCTCGATGTCGGGAACTTCTTTTGTCTTCCTTTCCCGATCCCGATGTGGGAATGTTGTGCGCTTTCATCAACTTAAGGGCCGGGGACTAGCCCTCTACCTGTAGGTAGTTTCAGCCCTCTCGCTTCGCTCGAGCATCTTCCCACGAATATAAAGAAGACTGTTAACCAGCACCGCAGTTTCTCCCGGTGAACAAACTAATCCTCCGCAGCCTAAAAATACCAAACCTCCCGCTATCTCTTCCTATTCGGGAACCATATCTCATTGCGAAGCCCCTTCCATTTCGATAGCCAGCATTAGCTAATGTTCCCACATCCCTTTATCTTCTTTCAGAGCCTCTTTGAAAGCCATCAATCACCCTGCCTCACGTTCCCTCCATCCGAGCCTGCGCCGGCCGGCACATCTCGAGATCGACTTTCACTTTCTTTTCTATTCTAGTTGGGGATCAGGACCCGGCGTCAAATTCACTAGAAGCATATGTAGCTGGAACAAACTAAGCATATTAACCAGATGAAGAGTCTTATGCTCATGATCCATCAATAGATCCTGCATAGACAAAGGAAGGCTATGGCTAAAGCACTAGTAGTAGATCTGATAGCTATGTCCCTAGTAAGAGAGCCTGAAGTAGTTTCGGTAGCACCCCCACTCATAGTAAGGTAAGGTAAGAAAGGCATGTGCATTACTAGCCAGTTAGAAAGAGGAATATATCTATATAGATCTAGACCCATATCCATAAGCATTAGTACTAGATCCTATTGATCTATAAGTGTCATTAACAGCGGCTGGAAGGAAAGAGGCCTTTCTTCCTTTTCCAGAGCGAGATCCAGTTGCTGGACCATCAATAGCATATCGACCAGCTTCGCGAACAGGCCGCCGTCAATACTGATCTGGTGCTAGTTATGCTGCTGAATCAACTGCATAATCGATTGGATCAACAAGGTCAATTGGATCTGCTACTAGTGGATTATATTATATCCATCTATGCCTCTAGTGATGCTTCAGCCTTCGTCTTTGCTACTCCTGCAACAAGAAAGCAAAGGGTACTGGTCCTGCTCGCTTTGGTTCTGCTTCTGTGGGGACGAGAACGAACTGACTCTAAATCTGCAGAATCCACTACCCGCTCCTGCTTCTTGGTCACCAGAAGAAAGTGGATCGACTTGCTCGGACGCTTCAACTGGCTCTACCTGTGCTGACGCTTCGGGTTCATCTAGGTGGGAAAGACGCTCTCTTTATGGTTGGTGGCTAGCTTGGCTTTCTGGCTATCGTAATCAACAGACTCGACTGAATTAGCTGCTGCATCAATAGCTTAATCAATAGCATAAGAAAGTCGTGCTGGACGATCTTGAACAGGAGATGCTGCTAGCTAGCTTTCTAGCTTTGGCTTTCCGGTGTAGCATGGCTGCTGGTCCCGGTTCTGCTTTCTTTCTTTCTAGCTTTTACCTTCTCTTTTATAAGAAATTTATCCCACACTCTTTATCTTATCTTGATGGGATGTTGTGCGATGCATATTTCTCCGACCCGATTCACCTTGACTAATCCTTCCTTTAAGCTAAGTGGTTCTCCCTCCGGTAATAGAAGATCTACTTTACCTGAGAGATCTAGCTCTAAGAGGTAGCATTCAATAAGATCGCCATCCAAAAGAGACCCCAAAGGTGAGAACAGTGGATAGGCTATAAAGCATGAATAGAGAGACCTCACATAGTAAGCGTTAGGATGTGCACTAAGACTATCGAAGTTGTCCAATAAGAAATTCACTAAGACATCTGTTATATAGGCAAGAGGCGGTATACCAATAGACGATGACCTGTCTATACCATTATAATCAATTATAGGTAATTCTATCAAAGAAGATACTAATTCTCTAATGCCCTTTACAATATAGTTGATTTTTCTTAAGAGTAGAATGCGCGAAAGAGAACTGATTGAATCATAAAGATTAAGATAATAAAGCTTATCTACTTTTCCCCAGCAAAGCAATTTAGAATAAAATTCTATGTGACTCTGATCAAGAGCAAGACATTCTTTCATAAAGCATGAAGATGAAAGAAAATAAGTATTTAGCATACGAGCAAGCGCTATCAAGACGAGATTATCCTTCATTGTGGGACGAACGACACAAGCATCCAGGGGCAAGTCTGTAATCGTAATTCCGGGTTCCATTTCATGCACCATTAGGGATCCTGGCCGGGATTCAAGGATGAGTGGTGAGAAATTATATTTGCCATTTAGTACCATAGATTGAATTTCTTTAACAGTAGATAAATCCATTGATTCAAAGAATGTATTTTTATATTCACTATATACAATTCCAATTTCTATTGCCTCTTCCACAGACATCCGAATTTCTTTTACAAACTTCCCCGTCCTTCTTAGAATTAATGAATTCTTTCATATAAAAGATTTTTTTGCTTTAGCTTTCGAATCCTATGGAAGCGCACCAGCCCGACAACGTGCCGGCGCAGGCGCCTGTTGCAAATCAACCGGTCGACCTTAACCGGACACCGAGTCCTAACCCGATGCTTTCCTTACTAATGGACCAACTTGAAGAGGCAAACAGGGACCTCGAAATTTTGGAGAGTAGACCCCCCACCACTCCAGCCGAAGTTCGGGCCAACTTAGAGGAAGTGAGGGTTTTAGGGGAGCGCATTGACAAAATTATTGAGCGAATCAATGAATGCCGGGCCCTGGATGAGGTTAGACGAGAGGAAGATGCCCAAGAACGAGCGGAAGTCGAGGCTCAGGCTCAACGGGTCGACCCAACTATACGGGGCCGCTTCGAGGAGACCCAAGCTCGAATACAGGCCTTCCGAGAAAGACTTCCCATTCTCCAACAAGAGAATTGGGAGCAATTCAACCGGGATCGGGGGAGACATAGGTAATTCTGTCTTCCTATAATCCTGCCTGGGGATAAGAGAAGGTGAATCTTCTCCCTGGGCGCGGATCGAAGACCCCTCTTGGAGATGTCGAGGAGTGAAAAGGCAGGATCGCTTGGTAAGCAAGCAGGCGCCAACTCCCAATTCTTTCTCTTCTTTCTTTTTTTATGAAATCGTGTACAACAACCTTAACCGCACAAGCCGGGACTGGGCCTACCTCCATCCCTATCCCTAGAGGAGCCGTATGAGGCGGAAGCTCCACGTACGGTTTTGAAGCCGAGCCTTTCCAGCAATGGGGCTTAGGGGCCGATATGATGATTGGTTTAGGTAAGGCGGCCGGCCTACTACGGGCACCTGTAGGGATTAGTGCGTGAGACCGCGATCCACAAACTGACGCATGGGACTCACCCTTTACTTGGAAATAAAGAGGGGAAAGATAGCATGTCACAAGAGCGAGGCGAGGTCTGGAACCCTACTGCGAGAGGGACGCCTCGTGAGCCGGGCTTCTAGAGATGAGGCCTTTTGGCGAAGCCAAGTCAATTTCGGGCCACCAAACCCTGCAACTGATGAGAAGGCCCTATGGAGTAAAGGGAAGCGTGTACGTTGTCACACTCCCGGCCTTCCAAAGGTGCCTAGAGGACGGGCCAGACGCAGCAGAGCGACAACCCGGGAGCGGATTCCCCACCGGCAGGGGGGCAGGAGACGGCCATCTCGAGGCACATCACAACCTACAGGCAAGATCGGCGAGACCTGGGAAGGCAACCCAACCCGATTGAGAGTCAGAGGATCCATAGTACCTGCAGCCCCACAGACTTCATATTCAACATTTTTTAAAGCGGGGGGAAGGGATCTCTTTTCTGCAATGGAAAAAAAGGAGCAGATTTGACTCGGCACAACCTAACGATACATCCAATACCAATGATCTGCGCCGCGTTGCTAGATCTCTGCTCTAGAAAGCTATACAGGCAACAACAAAGGCGGTTTGACTCGGGGCTTTTAGTCATAACGGAAGTTCGAAGGACGAGTCTTGTTCTTTCCAAGAGTGCTTAGTAGCCGGTTGAGAGCCATGGCGGATGTGTCAATCTCTAACCTGGTTGGCGAAAAGCTGAACTCGACCATTGGTCGACATGCACAAGGTCGTATCTTAAGGTGCATGATTTGTGGGAAGTCACGGGTGGCACATAAACAGTCTCACCCAGCCAGCCAGACTGTTGACCAGCGTAGCGTGGAACCAGAAGGCAGAGAGAGCTTATAATCATGCCGGAAGAGAGGTCTGCCAGAGCTATTTCAGTATGGGCAGCAGTGGAGTTGTCAAGAACATGAAGAGGCAAATCTCCATCTTCGCTGCGAGAGTCTGTCTGAGGAACGGGGGGCTCAGAGGGAGGTTGAATACTCGACCGATAGGGAGAGGGAGGTGTGCCACAAAAAAAAAAAGGATTTTCAGGAAAAGTAACCATTTAGAAAAAGGACTGAGCAGGCTCGGAAGTGGGCTGATAGGAGGTCAAAGAGTGGAAGGTAAGATTATCCATAGAATCACATGGCTATAGACTCTGAGGTGACAAGCATTGACTAGGAGGAGGGTCATAGCAACGATAATCCGTGTGATTATCAGCTTCAGAAAGCCAACTCTCGAAAGAAAAAAGCCATTTCCCGAGGTGCGCTCATTTCAAGTAGAATAGAACAAGTACTCCCAAAGACCTTGAGGCAAGAATGGGTGGGGGAGTCCGAGAGGGGGTTCGGAGAAATGTCAGAAAGAACGGAAGACGAAAGACGGTGAATCAGATAGACGAAGGTTAGGACGACCTCTGCCCAGAACTCTATAAAGAATAGACAATAGCAATAGGGTAAGGTAAAGCAAGCAAGACTGATTGCACACGCCTAAAGGAAGCAAGGTGAGGATAGAAGAAGCCAACCTGCCAACAAGTAAGCCCCTCTTTCGAGTTCTAGAGCTAAAGTAAGGTATGTATGCGTAGTTAGTAATCCCACCAGCGCTGTAGGTTCTAGAGTAGGGGGTAGACCTGGTACTAGAGCTAGATCTATTTCATTATCAGTATGGGAAGGTTCTAAACCAGCTAGAGGAAGCGGGATAGCATAAGCAAACCAGCCAACCCCGCGTTCTGTTCTATAGTAAAAAATTCCCTCTAACCTGGTGCTGTAGTATACCCTGTAATCCCAGGTGCTGGAGTGAGAGACTGGAAGAAGCCTCCCCCGCTCTAACCCTCTTGCCCAGCCTTTAGCCTACCCCTTTTTAGTTACCCTTTCGCTAGAGTACCCATCGTTCTATAGCTATAGAAATTCCCTTTTGCCAGAACTCGAGTTGGGAAGCGTGATAGAAAGAAAGCTAGCCCAGGTGAAATCGTATCCCTTTTTTTAGAGGTTTGAATCCCCCGGGATATCTCGTAAGGAAGGGAGACTCAAAATCATTTCAGTCAGCTATGTAGCTGTAGTAGTAAGCCTGTCAGGAAGGTTATATTAAGCAAACCAGTAAGTTAGTGATTCATTCAAAGTCTAGCCCTGGTGCTGGTGTATGCACTTATGCTGCCTTCACTCAAAAGAAAGAGAAAGCACTATCAAAGAAGCAAGGGATGAAGGAGAAGGCCTTCCGCCCTATAACAGTAGAAGAAAGCCCTTACCCAAGCAAGTTTTCTATTTACGTAGGTGAATCAAGTACAACAACATCTATAGCTTTCACGTGGCGAGCTACTAGAGTACTTCACTCCCTAACCCTACTTCACTGCCTCTCCCTTTGGTCGAGAAGTAAACTAACCTTACCTGTCTTAGAACTGAGACTGAGCAGATAGATAAAAGAAGCAAGCTACCTGGGCCTATTTGAAAGCTGATTATGAACATTTCTTTGACTGATACCCCGCTCTTTCAAGTGATCAAAGAAGTCAAGTTGCTTATCACGTTGCCTTCTAGGAGAAATAGAGTGGTTAGGTGAGATGCGAGGAACTTGCTTGAAACTTCGCCTGAGCTTACTGCGACTGCTGGGGCATTTAGGACAACTCGTTTACTGAGCACAACCCACAACGGTAGCTCGGGACAGTTAAGACAAGACGGTTGCCTCTCCGAGAAAGGGTCAAGAAGGCCCAGGCCTACGATTGGAAAGCTAAAGCCTTCCCTTAGAAAGCGCCGGATTGAGATGAAACTGCTTCTTCTGCCCACAAGGCCGTAGTAAGCAACCTTTGCGTAGAGGTCAGTTTTAGCTTTACTAGACTGAGATCTTTAGCTTGACTCTTTCTCCTTTCTCTTTCTCTTTTCTTGCGGAATGGGAAGGATGGCTAGTTGGAGGGTTGATCCTTCTCTCTTTGCTTATGAAATCTGAACTTCTTAACTCGACTCTCAGTACTATCGGTTTCGTCGCTGTCCTACCGCCTATGGTCACTACTATAAAGAAAAGAAACCGGTTCAACTGTAGCTTAGACCGGACAGGTGGTGGGTCAGCTGACTCAATCCAATCAATTGCTTTCACTCGGGTTGGAGTTGGAAGGTGACTGGGACACTCAACTAATAGCGGGCTTTTGCGTACGAAAATCAGTCTCTTTTCCCTATCTAAGCTATATCAACATAGCCAACTAGAGAACTCATCCGCTTGTCAATTCTTGGTGTAATACTCATTTGTCAATTCTTGGTGTCAGAATTTTTCATTGATCAGGTGTGCTCAGTCTCATCCGTGTAAGAATTAGGAATTCCTTTTCCAACTCGTCCCGGAATGGGCGTTATGGCAAAGAACAAGAAGAAAACAAAAGGAGAAATTTGTCCAATAGTAACAAATGGTGCCTCCACTGGTTGACATCCGATCCAACCTAGTAGTAAGCAATCCGCCAAAAGCAACCAAAAGATTCCTTGGTGAATCGGGCGAAAACTTGAACTACGCACATACATACTTTTAAAAAAGGTAAAGCCAACAGACATATAAAAACTGGTGCTATTGCGGCTACACCTCCCGATTTGTCAGGTATACTACGAAGAATGGCATAGATCGGTAGGAAATACCATTCCGGCACAATATGAGGCGGGGTGGACATCGGATTAGCAGGTATATAATTGTCGGGATGCCCTAAAACATTAGGAGCATAAAAAATCCAAATGGAAAAAAAGATAGCAAAAGCTACCCAACCTACTAGATCCTTTACATAAAAATAAGGGTAAAAAGAAATTTTATCCATCTCTGAATGTACACCCAATGGATTATTTGATCCATATTGATGCAATGCAGCCAGATGAAGAAGACTGGCGCCTACTAAAATAAAGGGGAGTAAATAATGAAGACTAAAAAAACGATTTAAGGTGGCATTGTCCACGGAGAAACCACCCCAAAGCCAAGTCACTATGGTATCTCCTACTACAGGTATGGCGCTAGCTAAGCTTGTAATTACTGTAGCTCCCCAAAAGCTCATCTGACCCCAAGGTAGTACGTATCCTATAAAAGCTGTCACAATCATTAATAGGAAGATTACAACTCCGAGACACCAAACAAATTCCCTAGGACTGCTATAACTCGCATAATATAAACCGCGAAAAATATGAAGGTAAACCACAATGAAAAACATACTTGCCCCATTAGCATGCATATAACGGAGCAACCAGCCCCCTTCAACATCTCTCATAACGTGTTCTACGCTGTTGAAAGCTAGATCCACATGAGGTGTGTAATGCATAGCTAAAAAAACGCCAGTCACTATCTGAATGACTAAACAAATACCAGCTAACGAACCGAACCCCCACCAATAACTAAGATTGCTCGGGGTTGGATAATCTATCAAATGCTGATTAAGTGTGGAGGATATAGGTTGTTTAAGAAGAGAGAATCGTTGGTTCCTTATAGTCATTTCTCTTTCCTATCGTGACAACTCTTGTTCCCCCACCTTTTTAGCGTTCTGGGGCCCTACTTAACTAACTATATATATTCTATATATAGTTACCTTTCTTCCAACTCCGAAGGATGTAGGGGGTATACAGCGAAAGAAGCGTCGAAGGGGTCATCCTGGGTTACTGAAAAGTCGTCCGACTGCTCGGTGATCAAATCAGAGAGATTTTGACCGCTTTATCTTCCCTCCAGCCCTCTCGGACTGATCATCTTTCTGGAACAAAGCAAGCTTAGGAATGAATCTAATGGAAATTTAGGTCTCTGTCCGCTTGGAAGATTCTTATTTCCTCTTCGGTGAAAGAGGGCAAAGGCGTGTGGGAGAAAGAATTCTAAAAGGAGAGAATCTTTCGTCCACCACACCAAGCGGGACAGAGTGCGACCCCTAAACAATTGGAGGTTCTCGCTCATCTCTTGGGATCCATATCATCTGAAAACTTTTCCTGTTCCATTAGCATAGCTAAATTTGAATAGGATGACTCAGTGTCAGGAAAAGTAAGCCCCCCTTGCCTTGATTGAATTTGGCTTCGCTGCGCCCTGAATCAATTAAAAAGCTTATTGATTTGATTCATCCCATTTCATTTAGGCGAGAGGGAGGCTGTCAGTCACCTGAGCTACGGATTTGTCGGTTGGGAGATTCTTGAAATTGAGAAAAAAAAGGCCCTCGGGTCCCGACCCACAAATGAATAGGAAGCGGGGCGAGGGTCTTTCATTAAAGGGGGAAAAGAAGGGTGGGGCTTTGTTCTGGGGGGGCCGCCTTTCGCAGCTTTAGAAAGGAGAGAATTTTTTAAAGTCACTCTCTCCAACCCTTTCTTTTCTATCTATCCTTAGAAGTAGGGCGAGAGAAAGTCAATATGATGTGCGTTGGTTTTTCCAACGAAACTAAGGGCTTTTTTGTCTTTATCATTCGAAGGGCTCAGTCCCACACTCTGACTTCAATGATGGGAACAACCTCCGCACTCCGGTGCTCCAATGAACAACAGTTCTCCGCCTTACTCTATTTAGAATAGTGGTCGATCCCTCGGGTAAGTTATGAATATAACTTAATGTTATGTTCACGCGGTGATATTCTTTCTTTTCAAGAGTACTACCCTGTACGTAACGTAGTCTATGTCTGGGGAGCATACTTGACAGGAGATAGACAGAGGCGGTAGAGAGGTCCCCCAGCCCCGTTAGCATCTTCGATGCTAGATAAGGGGTTACTCCGTTAGGTCTTTAAGGTCCGGAGCCGGCCGGTAATGGATCTACTTACCTTGCTTATGGACCAGCTGCAGAGCTAACCCTTGTTCTATTGGTTTGGTGGTTGCTACCAAAACGATTTCTTTATGCCTATCAAAGAACCTCAAGATGCTAATCCACGACGATAAGAGAAATTCGAAAGAACTCATATATGGAACGGGGGCGACCCGTGAAAAGACATCGCTTTCTTACTCGTGCAAAGGAACTTTTTCTTGGCAACTTGGAAAACTTATAACGATCTTTGTCCCGCATATCACTAGTAAGATCGGGATCTTTACAAAAGTCTTTTTCCCTTCCTCAATCATCCCTGTCCAAGTACTCTCCCACTTGACCTCTCTCTCTCGATATCTCCCTTCTTCTCTCCTTGCCTCTACAGTTCTTTCTCACATCTGAACTCAATGCCGAGCCACCTGTGACTCACTCCACTACATCTAGTTGTCCCTACTCAAATGCTTCATTGCTGCCTTCCACTACAGCAGTGGACACATCACCTGCTCTTGATCCAAGTCGTAGTTCTCCTGAGGCACCACCTCCTTCTTCTTCTATGTTCCGCATGCAGTCGATATCTCCAACTCCACTCCTACTTATACCAAAGCTGCCATTCACATTATGGTCTGGAGATCGAAGAGAAATGGCACATCTTTTTTACCCTCTGTAAAAGATACTTGCTGTCTAGCCCCCAAAACCACTTGTCTATTCTTACCCGCCTGCACACCCACGTTATTCCACTAGGGGGATCTTTCTGCAAGCAGCCGGCTGTAAGGAACATACGTGCATAATCCCCCGCAAGAATCTCAAGTTCTTGTTCGAGAATCAACTGCACATGAATAAGCTCTTCCTTACGCCTTCAAGGAGGAAGCGGCTTGATGCCAAAATTCCCGGGAATATGCTGTTGCCAGCGTCCTCATCATCGACCTTTGGTGGGCTCTCCCCGATTGAGGAACTTTCAACTGGGGACTCCGATGAGAGGATGCTCGCGGAGAATGCTCCCGCGCCCTTACTACGCTCTTGCACTATTAGCCCGTTCGATTTCGTTCTGTATGAAAGATTTCGACATCACCAACTACTGAAGACTATTTGTCCGCTAACTATTGCATCATCGGCCTGTCTCCACATTTCGGGCCTCGGGAGAGGAGGACATTGATCGAGCTTTTCCATGCCTAATTCCAGTTTAGGGTAAAGACCTAGAGCGGGCTACGGATCTATACCAAGCCCGTTACGCTATAATTCATTGAAGTTGATCCCGAAGTTGTGGTCTATCCCGTTGTAGTAGTCTCTATTTATTCATCCCAAGAATGAACTCTCCTTTGTTTCACGGGATGATCGTCTGATATCATTGATAAATTGGAAGAAGTGTTATCGAACGATTTCCTGCAATTATTCCCAGTATGGAATGAGTAAAGAATCAAGCTACAAGTCTCGATCTATACAAAACGCACTGGGTTTTTGTCTTTCTTTTTTTATGGTATGCCCCTTCTCAAGAAGAAGGAAGAACGAGCAAACTAGACTAGAATGTGTGTCCAACTAGAATCCTTGAGACAATTCTTACTAATAAGACTGGCACATGCTGAGCGAAGACCAGTATCGCAAACTCAAGCGCGAGACAGAATCATGAAGCTATTTACGTGTAGGTCTATAGTAGTAGCAACGGAGAGACATTAAGACGGAGGGTACCACTATCATGTAGGTGTCTTAAATGAGAATGCGTCCAGATATAAGTGCTTTAAACAAATAAGGGCGCTCTTCCCCGAGTTTGAGGGGAGGCAGATAAATGTCAAAGTACACAAAGGATGGGGAAGAATCTGCCGATATATACCTAAAATGGAAAAAAAGAAAGTGGTATGGGGCGAATACAGCCTTAAGCAGATATTGGAAATTGGAGATGCAAGTGCGAAAGACCAAGCTATTCCATACAAGCCAGAAAAGACAGGAGGAGCCGTTGTTATAGAGAAAGTCATGAAGTACGACGAATGGTATGATGCCCTCGAAGATCCCGCCCTGAAGGATACTCTTATTAGATCGTATTCAAATCTGAGGGGACTATTTGAAGATCTCAAGGTTGCAAAAGATAGGCAATCGAACGTAGGCGAAAGACTAGTTCAATTTTGAAAGGAAAAAGGATTCCCCGAACAACGGATTTTCCGAAACAACCGATTCCCCGACTCGACTTATTCCACCAGACAACAGCGGTTTCAGTTTCCACGCCTTTTAAGAACACTCTTCTGAAAGACCGTACAAATGGGGGTGATTCATACATATCTTCCCGCATTCAAGTCAGATAGAACTTTTGGGAAGCTCCAGAATAGACTCCGTGATTGAGGATCCTTTTAGGCGAAAGCCCCTACAGATATTCAACTTGACCCAGAAGCCTTTCACCCAGTCGTCATGCCAGCATCCAATCTCCGTAACG